ACAAATTTTTGGTTTGATCGTTCTACCACTTGTAATAAATTATGCGTCTTTGGGGTGAGCTAGAAAGCTTAAGAGCTCATAGTGTTGGTGAGGTCAGTGGGTACTACTCATCCGTGCAGTTTTCAGGATATGTGGAAATGAAAGTCAGCCAGACCTACAACTAGTCGAAAAGCTGGCTACACTCCTGGATTTGATATTCTACCCTGGGTGTTGTTATTCATTACATGGTAATGATGTATGGGGAATCGCTCTGTCCAGGGACAATCCCAGGACAAGGCGAGAAACTGGCAGGATCAACACCGATTTATTCGTCCGGTTGCAGGAAGAGTCGTCAGACTCTTAACTTAGAGGGATCAAATGAAGCGCGGGTAATAATAATAATAATAATAATAATAATAATAAGAAGAAGAAGAAGAAGAAGAAGAAGAAGAAGAAGAAGAAGAAGAAAAGAATCTTTATTACAAAACCTCAATTAAAATCCTATTTACAATCAACCTGCTGTTACAAAAAATCTAATTAATTCATCAAAACACTATCTACAATTCCATCCGTTACTAATATAATAATAATGATAATAATAATAATAATAATAATAATAATAATAATAATAATAATAATATACACTTATATAGTGCCTTTCTCTTAGTGATCCAAAGCGCTTTACAATCAGTAAATACTTAGAAAACCAAATATTCAAATACAACATAACAGGATTTAAAATCCAAACTGGCAGGAGGCAACCAGATGGCTATTTACAAGCGTGGCCGAGGATCTGAACTAGAGACGACCGAGAACAAATCCAGGAAGTGGCCAGAGCGGGACTCGAACTCGGGACCACCGGATTGCGAGTCCGACGCGCTGACCACTCGGCCACGCTGTCATCCTCTTTTAAAGTTTCGTTTGTATTAAATCCCTTCGGTGGCGAAGTTTGCATTGCAGCCTGTATACAGCCGTCCCTTCCCCTTAGTAACAAACATTCATTTATGCTATGTCTATACTATACCGGATGGCTTATCATGTGGATGACAAGTACTCCAGGCGCGCGTGGTATGAGCATCTATCTGTTCACACTGTGCTAAAGAGTGGCACAGAAACCTATCCAAGAGGTGAAAGTCCTCGCAACGCTGCAGGCTCCGTTACAGAAACTGCACCAAAATGGCAGTTCTTATGTGTGAAGAAAAGCTCTCTCCGATACTGTCAGTTTCGTGCCAGCGCACGAGATATCCGGTACAATGTAGTCATAGCTGTTGAGAAAAAAAAAGGACAAAAAATTTTCTACACTTGTGCTTACCTTATACCGTTCGCTTTTCCTCTTTGTTTGCATAAAGAGACCTACATGTGAGTACCCTAGGTTCAAGAGGTTTTTATTATAAAATAGTGGGAAAGTTGGGGAGGGAGGGTGTAAATGAGAGTGTTGTAGGCATCAAAACAAATAAAATTGGTTAATAGTTAAATCATGGTTAGAAAAAGCACCAATATTGAGCGACAGACAGACATACACAGTGCAAAATAAGATAAAAGGAACTGAAGGGTTAATATATAATATAATATAAAGTTAAGGACCTTGAAGCGAGAGAAACAGGTTTCTAAGGCAAATAGATTCACTAGCTATAACCGTAGCAAGATGCCTGCGGCACTGAAACATGAAAGTACTGAAAAGTCTTGGAAATAAAAAGTACTTGAATACTTACTCTAAAATACATCAGATAGCCTCTTCAGCAGACCAATTAACGAGCGAAACAAAAATTGAAAACTCCTCAGCTGGTGGACAAAAATTCCTCTTCTCAAGGATGTATAAGGATGTAGAAATGTATCAGATCTATTAGGGGACGTGTAAGCATCGTCATTTTTTATGGCTTTTGTCCCGGCTAAGATTACCCAGTTTTGAAAAAGCTGCAATTTCAGCTTTCGACGTTTGGATATCTTATAATTAACGACTTAAGACTGAAGCAGTTCCCTCTTAGGCTTTTGTACATTATGCTTTTGTTTTCCCATTTAAATGCTCCTTCTTAATGATTCATTTTCCCCTAAAATGCTTGGATAATGTTCATTGTACAGAGGCTTTTTCTTTTAAATGATCCTAATGTTTCAAGGGTCATGTTTATTTTATCTGGAAAAAAAGTATATTTTTCAGGAAAATGCCACTAACATACTCGAATAATGCTTGATGCTTTTGCCTTTCTAAAATGCTCGAAAAAAATGCCGGCGAAATGTACAAAAGCCTGTTCTCTCTACATCTGGCGATATTACTTTTTTTTTTAAACCGTGGTAGACGTTTTGCCGTAATGCAACTCAATGTAAAGTTTCTAAGGAAAGAGACGAAATGCTTCCCCAAAATGATTGACAGCCTGCGAGTGACTAATAAGCAACCTCGCCGGCCATTATACAGGGGAGCCTCGATATAACAAAGGCCAAGGGGACTGGTAAAATTTGTTCGCTATAACGAGGCCTATTCGTTATGTTGAGGTTATTTTTCCGTGTATTTTACCATTACTGGGGTGAGAAAAATTGTTCATTATACCAAGGACTTCGTTATATAGAGGTTTTACAGTATATCAGCGATCAGTTTATGTCAGAAAATGTGTAACGAATAAATGTTGTTTGATTATTGGGTGTGAAAACTGTGTTTTGATTTGTTTAGAAATGAATTATCTGTTGTTCGTGTTGTGGAAGAGAGCTGCAGGAAGACTGCTAAAACTGCAATTTTCATAGTTAACTTTAGTTGACAACAAAAAAAAATATGGGTAAGGTTGACTTTCTAGTGGTGAAAAGTGAATGCTCTGCAAAGTTTGGACATCCATTTCCTTTTGTCAAACAGCATAGACTGCAATGAAGCCATTTATCCGATCAGCTTAGCAACTGTCATTTTGTTTTCAGTACTTTGTTCTAAAGTAAACAAAATGTGCAAACAATAATGGTGCAAAATATCCCTTCAGCTCAGATTACTTAGCTAGCCTATAAGTTGTTATCTCTTTGGTTTAATAAAATGTTTTGGAGTTTCGGTAATTGAATTGAAAGGATGGTATGGGACTGACACTGATGTAAGTGCAAGGTTAGTTCAGTTCTTTGAAAAGTGATAATCATGTTTCTCAGATTTAGACTTCTAAAGTACGCTTATCAACATGTATCAAGATTCAAACGAAATGTTAGACAAGGACCGATTTTAATTTGGACGATAAATCATTAACGGATAGTGACAGATAGTTTACACTGAAGACAATGAAGCTTGTTATCTTGAGCAATAAGTATGCATATACCGTTGATGCTGAGTACATAGAAACGCATGAATGAAATTGAACAGGCTACTGGGGAGCAAATTTAAAAGGTCAAGAGAAGTCTCACCTTATTCTTGTAGAACCAGTGCAAACGCTGCAGTGTAATTTTTTCATTCGAGTTCAAGGGCTTATCCCCACCCCGGACAAGAATTTCAAGTGAAAATGTCTGCTGTACCGCTCATGGCGACCGTGATTTTGGTGGTTTTTTGCTTAAAAGGTAGGTGATGTTGTCATTTACAAATAAATTGTTTATTCTATAAAAACACGGCAAGAAATAAATTTTACCTCGCATATAACTTCGACCCTCAAAGACGTTTTAATTTAGGATTCCCTTGGGTTGACGACTAAATGCTTATTTAAAGATAAACATGTGAAAGTAACAAGTAAAGCTTGGTACTGACCATTTTAATTTTCCCTGTCAGAAAATTGTACTGGGTAAGAGGGTACAGAATTATAGCAGATATATTTGGGAAATTTGACGACAAGAATTCTGCCACAGAAGGGCTAAAAAGCCACCCAAGGTGTGTCTTTGCAGCAAAAAGGGGGACGTTTTTTTCTTTTTTAAGAAACACTCTGCGGTAGCCGGAACTGGCTTCAACCGCCCATGATTTTGGCATTAGGTTTAAACTTAAAGGGATAGTTGACTTACTTATATAATGAATTGAATAAGTTTTAGCATTTGAGGACTTGAAACTTCTCCATTACCGAATCTATTGTAGGAATAAATCTCTGAGATGACGGTCGTACCACTCAGGAAACGGGGATTTACGCTGGTCGTAAAATATGTTTGAAATAAGCGAGGACCATTCGTCGAAAACTTTCACGATTTTCAAGATTAAATGAAAAACAACCAGTTAGCCACAAATATCGACCAACTATTGTACCTCAAGAAAACTGAGGTATTAACTTTGTTTGCATTAATTGGATAAAAGCATGTTTTCATTTCAGATTTTGTGAAAGTTTAGAGAACATAGGGTTCAGTGCAACGTCTTTTGGCTTAATGTAAAGAAGAAGCCTCGGATACTTTCATCAGTTTGATTAAAAAAAGGAAAAAATCACATTTTTTGCCGAGTAAAAACAATATCAGTCTTTCCTGTCTTGTGTATTATAAAACTTGCCATTCTTAATTAAGCGAATAGACCCTTAGCAACACCTGGCAAACAATGAATTTGAGCCACGGATCTTAAAATCCGGAATACTAAACATGCAATTAATGCAGCTTTTATTTTTTTTTTTCTGAGATCCTGTTTAGTCCACGTAAAGTAAAATCCCTTTAAGATTTTTCGTATAGAGTAGAGCTTTATAAATGGAAGAGGTTAATGCTTGTTTCTTGAGTTAGTTTTCAAAAATACACATCGCAGAGTTCAGTCACCCCCGGGTTGATACTGAAAAATCAATAAAATTTGAAAAAGCTTTGTGTGGGCATTTACAAAAGCATGGGTTTGTCCTTGAAAAGCTCAGAAGCCGGCAGTAATCCTTCGAGAAATAATTACAAAACTGTTTAATATATATGTGCAAGTGGCCACAAAGAAAACGCTTGACAAATTAAATAATCCGATTCTTTCTTAAAATCTGCTGTTATATTTACTGCTCTATAATAATAAGGTGTATGTTAATTTTCCAGATGGATCTGGACAGAATACTACATCTTTGCAATCAATGTCATCTTCACAAACAGTTTCTCTAACGACCTCATCCTCACAGCCTGCGGCTAACACACCGATGATGACCCCAACACCAACAGCCTCTCCGTCTCATTCCACAGTGGCTGCTATGAGCAGTTCAGTCTCTGTGAAAAGTTCTACCAGTGTGGTCCCCACTAAGACAACTCTAACAAAGTGTAAGAAAACCAAGAATATATTGCATTAAGAAATAAGAAAATTAAAGTAGATACACTGGTTGAGTTCCCTGATACAACCACCATTAATATTTGATATTAAACTGTTCAATAATCCGTTTTTCCATGACTGTCATTTCAGCACCAAAACCAAACGCCTGTGGCTTCTGGACTTACAATTGCTGGTTTGCACGTGACGTCACGGCGGCCATGTTGGAGGTCGAGAAAAAAAGCATTTCTCTCCTCTGGGAACTTAACTCTATTTTCATGTGAATTCTTCAAGAAAAAATTATATTGTATCGGACCTCCAACATGGCCGCCTTGTCACGTGGCTACAAACCAAGAATTAGAAAAACTTTGAGGCCATTTCTATGAGTGTAGACCAAGTTTTAAACGTCTACTTTCCAACAAACAAATCGCATGAAATCACGTGCGAAACAGAGTGTATTATGAGAGATTCCAAAAAAGATAAAAGCTACGATTTTAGTTGCCATTATTATATGCCGAAACTGAATAGACCGAATGCCAGATAAACGAATCAAAAGTAGATGATTCTGTCTTGATGGTCAACACTGTTGTTTTGAATTATTTTCAATCGTCAGCATGTGTCTCCGTCAGTTTTGTACTAAATTTCCAATGGAATGATTCCTACGCAAGCAATAACTCAAGGGAGTTCAAGTTACTAAAGCTCGGGATGGCGATAGTGGTGAGTGGCTCTGTAATTTACAATGAAAGTTGCATTATAAGCAGATTCCGTATCGATCATACACGAGCGTCAGTAAGTCATAAACATTTTTCATGCCATAACTTGTTGTGGAAAGTAATGACTTTCTCACAAAGTATCAGCCTTTCTCTCTCAATTGATGCAGTTATCTGTTGTCATGACCGAGGAGTCAGTAAGTAGAAGTTGTTTAATGAACGTTGCTGCTGTAGCCAGGTGACCCGTTGGTAGAAGACTAACTGTATCGCTTTGTTGTTGTTGTTGTTTTTAACCCTGTTCAAGTCGGGGTTTTTTTGGCATCTTGCGACCAGGGGTGGCTTAGGGGCTCCCCTCTATAACTTTAAAATTGACCATGAATACGGCCACCTGAAAAGCCTTGTACACAGAATAATGTACTGATCATTTCCAACACCTAGGCATAACTGGCATGATTGACACAACGACGTAATTTGACGTCATTGTCATATCATATTATTGAATTATTATTATTGAATTGGTGGAATTCAAATTCTATTCAAAGTAGCCATAAGCGAAAAATACTGAAATAGCAAGGTGTCTGATTAAAAATAAGAAGCTGGCTGACACGCTTATGGTCTTTAACAATAGCAGTGACGATGACGACTTGTATCATAAAAAAAGGGCTGGAGACATGCGCCATCTTGGATTTGCCATTTTGAATAAACTAAATGTACTCCATTTTACTTAAAACCCAAATAAAGCGAGGTAATGGTGATACAAAATTTGATCTATGCATAAAAGCATGCTTGGGAAGCAAAAAGAACGTCTGCAGGTTATGAAATTCCAAACACACCTCCCCCACCATTGCCAATCCGACTGAGGATTACTTCGAGACTGGATGATTACCATTTGCTATAAAAGCGTAAACTCTACCAATTAAACTCCGTTAAAACAGTAATCTCTCACCCAATATCCTGAATTTACTTACAGATGAGTCAACGATACAACGATACAAACAAATACGGTGATGTTCGAGTAACGGATCTGTCGCTAAGAGAAAAAACAAGAAGAGTGATGTTATCCTTTAGACTTTGCATGGTGTTAAAGAAAGCTGGCTCTGAATTCATTGAAGACATATTTATGAAGGAAGTAAAGACTGGCAAATATTTTACAGGTCTTCAAATCATAGAAGGCAGTGTTGAATTCAAGGCATTTGGTAAGTCACATTCAGTCACGGCTAGAAGCAATAACTACAGAAACAGCATCCTACAAGAAAGCACCAGCTGGGATCTCAAATGAAGGTTTTAAGCTGAAAGGGCATATTTAATGCATTATAATCCCAACAAAGGTCAAACTCTCACATCAGAGAGTACTTGATAATTATTGGGAAGCCTGTGGGAATGCCTTATCTAAATAGTGTTCGTCGTCTTTGCTGCAAAAAGATGGCCAGGATGGACCACTTTGTCCGTCCCCATGGGATGATGCCTGATCTTTTAATAATTATTAAAGGGAGGGGTAGGTCATTCCAGATATACAGGCTTGGAACAAAAAATTGTGGAATGCATTATTTTATAACTAGACTTTAACTTTCTAGGGGTAAAGCTCACAAACTGGAAAGCTAAAGATGGCGAGTGTGCAAAGTGTTCACAGGGAGGCGGTGGTCCGTTTGTGATAGAAGCTGGAAAAAGCGAGCCAAAAGCTGGATACAGCTGTAACGGTTTCAAGAAAATGGAAAAGTCAAGTGATTGTGTCAAATACTGTGATTCAAATGTTGGTAAGAAAAAATGATATATTGACTGTTCTCCGATGAAGGAGTCGCCCCATGTAATTGCTGAATTTTACGTAAACCTAAATAAATTCAAATTATAGGCTTGTTTTCAATCATCCATGTCGTCACGGCAATGATCCAAATCCTTCTTTTAACCCAATAAATTTTATTTATAAATACATTTTGCCCGTACCAAATGTGAGATTTACACCTGCCACAAGTCTTAGATATAACATCCCAATGAATGATGCGACTCACAACCCATCAAACTATACTCAGCCACCTTAAGAATAATGACATTCTCATGACTCGACTTACGCCGTACAATAAACGACAAGGATCAAGATGGCTGCATAGGAGGTGAAAAGTATGTCAGTCGATAATAAGCAAGCAAGTTTTTAATTTAAATACTTCTTACTAACATCACGATTTTTTTTTTCAGCGGCTGTAACACTTTCTTCGTCTGTATTTACGCTGGGGATCCTTTTTTTTTTCAGGTAACTTGATTTCCTTAACCTAATTAAGCTAATTTAAGCTAAGCAAGGATACAACTGTCTCCAGTTTGTCCAGATACATGTTACACCGGTAGAGACTGAATTAATATTGAACTTGATGCGGAGGAAATAAGAGAAAGGACAGTACACTAAAATAGTCGATCAATAAGATTTCGCCTCATGTAATGGAGTCCAAGAAAGTCAGTTGGATTCTTGATTCCACGCCGTGGAATCCAGATTCCTAGTACTGGATTCCAGTCTTCGTCGGTGGAACTTGGATTTAGTGGGATTCCAGATTCGTTTAGCTGTATTCGGGATTTCAAAGCCAAGGACCTTTTCGCGACACCACAACAGGTTTTCCCGCGAAATGACATCTAAGAAACGACTGCCGAAACACTACCCAGAACTTGGTAGTACAACCTCATCAGTTTGGAATTTCTGTAGTCGCTCCCCATTCTAGTGAGGAGGGTCTCATTGGGGTGGTAGCTTTGACGGTTGATTCTTAATGTTAGAGCTTTGGACGGTNGGGGGGGGGTGGAAACAGAGGGAGGGTCACAACTTTTTGAGACTCAGAAAAGGGAGGGGTCATAAAAAATGGGCTGTTAAAAGGGGGAGGGTCATGCAAATATATGCCCGTGATCATGTAGAGGTTCACCCACAGAAGAAAAAGGAAGTTCTTTATCTGTTAAAAAAAAGGGGAAAAAAAAGAACAACGGAACATTATGGATATTAACTGTGAAGTAGTATTGCAAGAATTTAACAAACATCTACTTTTCATTTATAACAATGCTATAGAGTCTTATTGCAATTATGAATAATGTTTTTAATGTTAGTAGAGTTTTGGCTATTCTTTTCATCACTGTCTTCAGCATCACCATCAATGCTGCTGTGAGCATCTTGATCATCATAATTTATGTCATCAGCATTTTATTTATTTTATTGGCTTCGCATTGATACAATCACTTTCATCACTATCATGATTTTCATTTAAGTTGAAGCGTAGATATTGCTTGATAATTTCCTGTGATTCATTGATGAACAATCCCTTCTCAAAGGCATATTGGTTATGGCCTTTGTGTTTTGAGGCAGAGCCCACTTATTAATTCATAATGAAGAGATTATGAGCCAATAAGCTCTGTATTCAACATCATGCAACTCTCGCTGAGATGCAATGGTTCCAATAACTCTTTTGCAGTTAGCTTCCATTCTTTTTGCCCTAGCTTTTTTTTTTGCTTTCCTTTTATTTTGTTTTTGTTTCCTTCCTCTTTTTTCTTGTTGGCTTGGAATACTACACCCTAAAGAGCCTGGAAGATTTTTCTTTCAATTCTGTAAGGTGGGGAGGGTCATGATATTTTAGGCCAAGCTCAAGGGGAGGGTTAGCAAATTTCACTCCCATTGCAGGGATGGGTCACCTAATTTCCTCACCCAAATTTAAAATTCCCACCTCCCCTCCCCCCCTGCTAATTTCTGACAAGTCCCTTCCATGGGGTGAATCACAGATTACTAAAGCTGTAGTTAAAGTGGAATTAAAGAGATGAAATACAGTGGACCTTCTCCACAAGGAGACTGCAGAGACCGTTGTAGGGAGTTGCTCATTTTACTGGAAGGCTAAAAACATTTTGGTCTCAGTAGAGGGCGGGAATAACTCCATTGTTTTCAAGACCTTTGATAGTGAGTAAATGCGCTGAGGAAGAAGACGAGAAGAAAGGAAAGTAGGCCGTTGTAGTGAAGTTGCCACTTCTAAGCTTTCGACTGCAGTGCATGTTGAGCCTACAAGTACGTTTTAATTAGAGAGACTCTTTTGACTGGGGCATTTCTAAAAGCATGGCCTTTTTCTTTTGCAGCTTTAATATGTGGAAGTGACTGAGTCGTTTCGAAGATAGTGGAAACGAGTCAAACCGGAACCTGAATTTTTCAAAATCCTGTTTGTTTATCAAAAGGAAGCTTTAGCACCAACGACGGCGACGGCTAGGAAAACGTCACTTAAAAAGTGAATTCGCGCTACTTCAAACTTCAACGCGCTTATTCCAGCTCGTTCAATTCGTTAAATGTTGGCAATTTTTTCTGAAGTTAAATTCTAAACGACTGTATCAAAGTTCAGGAAAAGAAGAAGAAAGTCGTCGTCTTGTGTTCGCGTCCTCGACAAAAGGTGAAATTAGGCACTAGAGAGATCAAGAGTCACGTTTACGGCAAACGGCAAACGTCAAATTCAAGTTAAGAATTTCTCAGAATAGAAAATAAGTAGATAAAAACTGTCCAAGAAAATTCTTATGGATAGCACTGGCATGAAACCGCTTATTTTTTGAGTAGAAATAATAAACAGTTAACGACAATTAAGGGGAAAACTTGGTCATGTGGTACTACTTCACGTTTGGCGAAAACCTGACTCTTAATCTCTCTAATTTCACGTTGTAGTCGTGCAGCCACGGCAAAGAATGTAAGGAAGCGTGATGCACGTGTCATGTTTTTGTTTTACGAATCTAGACCGATTGCTTTTCTGCTTTTTCGTTGCCGTTGCCGTTGCCGTCGTCGTTGCTAAGCTCATTTTTTTAAAAAACTCTCCTCTCCTGCCAGGATTTCTACTTCGCGTTAACTCCCCGCTCTGAATACAACAGTACAACTCAGAATACAATTTTATGTAAAAATTCGATCGCATTTATTTTTTCAGTCATAGGACTTCAGTTTAAGCGTCAAGTCTGATTTTTTTTCTTTTTCGTCTTCGATTCTTAGTGTGCAATATACAAATTAAACATATTATTATTCAGAAGAGTGCGATCTTTAAACAGCGGAAAGGTGTCTTTGAGATCATTACATACTAGTTACCGTCACAGATTTTTTGGGGGGTTTTTATTTGGTAAAACAATTTATGTTTATTATTGATCATCATATTTAACTCTCTTTTCGAATCATTTCAGCGAACCCTATTAATATACAAATCACTATTAAAAGAAACTGTAATTGAACACTGCAAATAGCAACCCTACGCAATATTTTAATCTTCACTGAAACTTCAAAGAAAAAATCAAAATCACTTAAAAAGCAGACTTTGTAATTATTTTATCTTATAGAGAAATAGAGAAATGCGATTATTATTATTATTATTATTATTACTATTAGTAGTAGTAGTAGCAGCAGCAGCAGCAGCAGCAGCAGCAGTAGTAGTAGTAGTAGTAGTAGTAGTAGTAGTAGTAGTAGTAGTAGTAGTAGTAGTAGTAGTAGTAGTAGTAGTAGTAGTAGTAGTAGTAGTAGTAGTAGTAGAAGAAGTAGTAGTAGTATCATTATCATGTGGGTTCGAGAGATCACGACATAAATAATTGCTTTGAAGTCGCAGTCTCGTAAAAGAGAAAGAAAAAGGAAAACATTTTCCAAACATGACTGATGGATCTATGTTCATGATGTGCCTGTTCCTCGGTAGTTTGAGGATACGAAGAAATATTCATTGCAACAAATAGTCTTCATCAAATTGCAATTGTCATCTGTTTAGTTGTTTTTTTTCTGTTGTTGGTATGTTTTTAGGCATAGGTTCGATTTTCTCTTCGCAAAATAAGCGACATCTCTAATAGCGCAACCTCGTCCCCAGGTCCTCTCAGTTTCCGCTGTTGACGTCACGGCAGCCATATTTGATGTCCCAAAACAGTGAAACGGCAGCCGCCGTGTTGGTGTTCCAAAGTTCATTCTTTTTTTCTTATGTCAGGGGCGTAACGTGACCATTTTGACACGTGCGCACACGGTTCTATATGGTTTTAAAAACTTCGTACAAAACAGCGTTTTTGCTTTCCTTAACTACATAAAAGGCAGTTTATGTATGGGTCAAATCCAAGCTTCAACATCCCGCCCGGGCAACCCCCCGGGCAATTGACTTTTTTGAAAATTATTGCTCAAATTCCCCCCTACCCGGGCCAAAATGCCGTTCAAATGCCCCACACTAGGGTCCATTCAGGTAATCAAATGCCCCCACCCCGAGGACATTTCACAGGCACATAAATGACAGAAGGACGTCAGAAACGCCAAACGCCTTCAGATGTCGAACAAAATCGTCATAAATACAGCAAATAATTCGCATTCAATATATCAATAACTGAGAAACACTGTTAGCGTATTTACTACGAACAAGAGTCTCGTGCAAAGCGGCGGAAAACGCTGCTACAGGGTCACTAAATGCTCAGCTTTTCTTCGTGTGTCATGCAACATACAAAGCGTTCTATAAAAAAAATCCCACCTATCATGACCATTTCACTGACATGCATCATCGTTCTCCTTATGAATAAACATACACTAGGCAGGTCAAAGTAATCGACCTCTGTTGAGTTTTATATTGCTGTATTGAATCTCCGGTAAAGGTATTTCTTTGTATTAATATCAGTTCATATATTCAAAGCCTGAATCCAATATTAAAAATGTTAAAATTTAAATGCCTTCAAATAAGGTACAAAGCTTGTTTAAGCCCTTTCCTCGTAACCAGTTGGCCACAAAGGCACAATCTTTTCCTCGAGAATCCTCTAACACCACATCACCCATGATGGCTCTGTCACAAATTATGTGTGATACAATCAGTTCTCTGTAGCTTTAATTCTTCACTCCATAGAAAGTATATTTCTTCACATGTTCATATTAGAATTCTATACTCTGTTCTACACTTAAAGGGATCATCGACATCAATTCGCGTAAAAATTCGATGATCTACACTCAATCTACACACTTGATCAGCTCCACGACTCGGAACGACTACACAGTCCCTAGACTCTCGTGCAAAGTTTCCAGATCACGTGACGAGTTTTCCCGCCACAATGACGCAATAATTTTCTAACAAACTCCCCGCCTTGATTGACACAAGTCAATCAACAGTGAAAGGAATAGAATAACAAATGAAAGGAAAAGAGTTCGCTGTTCATGACTTAATCTTAATGTTCACTAACGTGCTCCTGTTCAGCATTTCCCACCAGGGTAATAGGGAAATCAGTGTTTCTGTTCTGACATAGGACAGTACCTCCATTGCTCAGGCGAATTTCGTCTGATTTCGCCACCCGATTCCCCACAAACTGCTTGTATTCTTATCAGTGTTACTAATCCACCACAAAGAAATCATAGAATACGTCCAATTGACTACGTCATTAACTTTCACAACGTTTTCTAAAGCTTAATTAACACTCTTTACCAATCTTGACGCAGTAAGGTTAGACAAGGGTTCTAGACGCGGTATGGTTTGCTTATCCAACGGAGCTACTCGGATTTTTGATGCCATAATCTCACATTCTACTCTTGACTCATATTCTACTCTCATGTAAACAACGGCTCCGTACGCCTTTTCAGACGCATCTGCAAAACAATGAAGTTGGAGCGATTTAACTTCATTCCCACCGAGACCTTCAGAGTAACACCTTTTAAACCTCACTCTTCCAGCTAGTCTTAGGTCAGACAAATTTGACAACCACTCTTGATTGAGTTCGGTATCCACTAACTCGTCCCAGTCCCTTTTGTGCCTTACACAGTTTTTGAAACATAATCTTGAAGGGTACAGTATCTGGACATATTAACCCCAAGGGATCAAAGATTCTCGTAGCAGTACTGAGAATCAGTCTTCTTGTAGCTGGCTGAACGTCCACACCCTCCAATACCTTAATCAAGTCATAGATCAGGTCATCTTGGTTAGGGTTCCAAAGCATTCCCAAGACCTTCTGTTCTTTCTCAGTACCTTGCTTAAAAACTGACTTTGAGAAGCTCTCATCTTCCTCTTGAACACATTCTTTACTGTTTATAGCAAAGTCTCCTTAGAAGGCTGCATCTTGTTTCAGGGATTGCAGAAGACTTGCTGAGTTGCTGTTCCACTTCCTCATATTGAACCCTCCTGACTCGAGACAGAGTTTTATCTCTTTCGACAAAGAAAAGGCATTGTTCACATCCTTGGCCCCAGAAACGAAGTCATCTACATACAAAGACTTCAAAAGCTCAAGTGCAAGAGCATTGTCATGCAGCATACATGTATTAACATGGTGTCTGATAGTAGCATTGAGAATGAAGGGGCTAGCATTCACTCCAAATACAGCTCTTGTGACGCGAAGTAACTTAATCTCAGGTGATTCCTTATCGACATCATCTACCCATAGAAATCATAAAAGGTCTCTGTGTCCTGGATCAATCTCAATATTCAAAAATGCTTTCTCAATATCAGCAGTTACAGCAACTTCATGAACTCTAGATCTCAGCAAAATGTCCAGTAGAAGAGAATTTAATGAAGGTCCGACATGCAGACAGTCATTTAAGCTTGGTCTAAACACCTTAGATGAGGCATCGTATACAACTCTCACCTTTGTTGTATCTCTGTCAAGTCTCACAACTCCCCTGTGTGGGAGATAGTGTACATTTCCAGGTTCTAGGACTTGATCTTGCCGCACTTCTTCAACTACTCCACTTTCTAATTGCTCCTTAATCACTTGATCATATTGTTTCAGTATTTCTGGTTGGGTCTTAAGATGCATTTGTGTAATTATCTGACACCATAGGCTGATTATTCTTGAAAGGTAGCTTGACTTGGTATCTTTCACCAGTGAATCTTATCTCATTAGAAAGTTTCTTTACTGCCAAACTTGCGAATGATGATTAATCTCAGCTCAGAGGAAATTTTCTCCATTAAGACTGGAACTAATAAATTTCCAAAGGACTCTGATTCGATGCCTAGTGCCTTCAAACTTCGAATGTTTATCTCGATCAATCTTGTCATACAAGTCACGGAGTTTCTTCGTTTCATGCTCTGAAATGACTTTTGGCAATTTCAACAACCCGTCCATGTGGTTAGAAATCAACAGCTCTGGTTTACCAAATCTATCTCTAAGAATATCAATCGCAGTTTCGTAATTATCTTCAGTGAGAGGCAACCCAGTAATTGCAGATTCGACTACGCCTCTCACACAACTCTTCAAAGAGGTGAATTTTTGGATTCTTGAAATGTCAGTGTTTCTGTTAACTGCAGATTCAAAAGTGTCCCAGAAACTCTGCCATTCCTCGTAGTTGCCTGAAAGTGACTTTAATTCTAGTTTAGGTAGCTTCACTTTCACGTCCTCATTGCTTTTGACATTGTTATTAATTTGACTGAAGCTTGGTGAAGTTCCTAGGGGTTTTTATACTATTTTTAGCATCCTCTAAACTCCAGTCAATTCTAGCCAAAATACGGTAAACTTTTGCACAAAACTCACCAGAATCTTCAACTTCTTTCTCAATGTATCTCCCCTTAGTGTTTTCCAGAATTGTTTCGTCCAGCTTTTGGATGGTTTCTAGCCTTTCATTCATGGTGAATTTCAATCCCATAAATTTTGATGAATCTTCCACGTGATCGGCAGTCTGCTCGACTAAGAGCCTCGTCGCACCTTCCATCGTTTTCTCCACAAAAGCTCTGTGGGCATTTCTTATTCTCTTTGCTTTTTCGTTTTCCACTGTTTTCTTCTTGTACTGTAATCCTGCTCTTGACGATTAATTGATTAAACTGGTTTCGCCGATCCGGCTACTGCCAAGGACCATGTCACAAATTATGTGTGATACAATCAGTTTACTGTAGCTTTAATTCTTCACTCCATTGAAAGTATATTTCTTCACATGTTCATATTTTAGAATTCTGTACTCTGTTCTACACTTAAAGAATTCATCGACATCAATTCGCGTAAAAATTCGATGATCTACACTCAATCTACACACTTGATCAGCTCCACGACTCCGAACGACTACACAGTTCCTAGACTCTCGTGCAAAGTTTTCAGATCACGTGACGAGTTTTCACGCCACAATGACGCAATAATTTTCTAACAGGCTCGCCACGCCAGAGATTTCACATGAAATCGAGGGTGCAGTTCAAATTCCGCCCCCCCCCCCCCCAACCCCTGGGGGTAAAAATCCCCCCCCCCCGGGAGAACCTGGTAAATAAAATCCCCCCCCCCCCGGGCGGCAAAGGGGTGAAAAGCCCCGGGGTCGCCGGGGGGGGGGGGGGGGTTTGCGCACAAATATAGGCGTCTTTCACACAAAAACAGGACTTCAAACAACATTTTTTTTCATCGTGGGGGTGTAAAGTTCCACCACACGAGAGG